GTTGTGAATATGATTACTCTATCAGGTTCTCTCAAGGTAGCCATTTAAAAATATTCATTTCACAGATCCCCTCTCAGTAACATGTACACACAATATTTGTCATTCATTTCATCGCTGTTTGTGGATATTCCTGTTGTTGCTGCAATCGCCAACAAAAACACATACATTTTACGTCGCACCCTTCAAGGCAGTGTTGAGTCTTCTCAACAGTTACCAGCATTATTTTAAGTCTCTCCAAATTGATTCCACAACTGTACGCAATAATCCAAATAGTAAAACCTAGTCAATATCTTCCACACATTTAAGATTACCTCTTTTCTCTTGAATTCAATGCTACTATATCAAATTCAAGGATTATATATACGTGTATTGAGATGAGAGATCCGAACACAAACCACCGGTCTGAAAAACATCCCTTTTCTCCTACTCTGCTAACTGTTCATGTCCTCCCTCCGCCAGGCTACCACATCCCACTTAATACCATGTGCTTTAAATTTTTTTCCAATAAGCTTCCTGCACCACCTCATTAAATGCCTTTCAGAAATCGTTATTCACAACATCGAATATATTCACTCTGTCAAAACATTGCGGTTTCCTCAAAATATTCAGTAGAATTATTCAAGCACAACCTGCCTTTTCCAAACTGATGCTAGCTTTCCTGAATTAGGCCATGAATTTCTAAATGTTTCTTCATTTGAGCTTTAATCGTGGACTCTACACACAACTGATGCTAACCGGTCTATAATTCCTTCAATTATTTTAACTCCTTTGCCTTTCCCTCTTCCTCTTCTTGTGCAGGACATTAATTAGCAACCTTCATTCCTCTGATCCAAGATTTGGATAATTAGAGTTGGGTACTTCATTATATCTTCTATGACTTTCCTCTAATCTGGGATACATACCATCAATCCTGGTAACGTTTCAACTTTCATTTCTATTATATTTTTCAGTTTCACTTTGAATAAGTATTCATTGCAGTTGCTCAATATCCTCTTCTGGTATTACAACAATCCTTCTGATGAGTCAAATAATAATAATAGTCATTGCATTTAATATAGCGCCTATCATGTCTTCGAGACATCTCAAAGGGCTTCACAGAATATACTGTAAAGTGAATTGACTATATTTTGTGGGCGAAACGTGGCAGTCAGCTGCACACAGCAGTGCCCCATAAACAGTCATGGACTAAGTGACCAATTTATTATTTTTTTTTGAAGGAATTAATGGTCTTTTTTGCTGTATATTTCTATGGTTCTATGCACTTTGTAAAAACGAAGGCAATCATGTTTAAGGAAAATTTATCACTTTTAACTACGCGCACTAGGTGTCAGCTTGGCTTAGTTGGTAGCACTCTCACCACTGAGTCAGACAGTCAATGGGCTCAAGAAAAGTAAAACAAACAGCAAACATGGAGATTGAGGATGGGTAAGAGAGTGGATGAAAACAATTGGTAGAGGTAATTGTAAAGGTTTATATAAGCATATTAAAAGTAAAAAGATAGTCAAAAAAGCCATAGGACCACTTGGGGATGAAAGTGACAGATCCAGTATAACAATAATAATTATTAATAATCTTTACATTTGATATAGTATTGTTCACATCATTATGATGTTGAGTGTCATTGAATCGTCACTTCAGTACAATGCATTGTCAAAGGTGCAGTGTTTTGGATGAGATATTAAACAGACATCTCATCTGCTTGTTCAGCTGGATGTTATAGATCCTGTGACACTATTGAAGAGAGAGGAGAGTTTCTCTCTGTGTCCTGCCAACAATCCACCAAATGAAATTGGTCCTTCACTTCAGAGCTGTTTCTGGGATTTTGCTGTGTACAAACTGGCTATCACACTCGACCAGCACCTTGGGACGTCCTTCCGACGTGAAACGCATTATACAAATGTAATTTTTGTTGTTGTTATTGACTACAAGCTACACAGTCACTACACTTCCAGTAAACCTTTGCGAAGTGCATTGAAGATGAATAGGAAGGTCTTCAGGTGCGACCTGAAGATGGGGAAGGAAGGGGCACGGTTGAGGGATAGAGGAAGAGTGTCTCGATGTCTAGACACCTCCCCCTCCCCCAGACTCGGAGTCGTGCTCTGCCACTGATAAGACACTATATTTGTCACCTACACTCCCAAGTGGCCCCGTGGCTTTCTGACTATCTTTTTACATTTGATACGTTTATATTTGATATGTTTTGTCTTCAGAATTACTTTTACCAATCGTTTTTCATATTCTCTCTTAGCAATCCTAAATCTCCTTATTTTGATTTTTTATACTATCAGAATTCTATTCACCATATGCCTCCAACTAAATAATTGAGTATAATAAAATGCAATAATAACTTTTTAAAATTTCATTTTCTCCAGTCATCCTAGCTTTGCATACACCCTTCTCCTACTTGCAGAAATGTATTTAACCTGCATCCTATCCACCTCATATTTAAATATTTCCCACTGCTGTTCTGCAGTTTTATTCGCCAGGTTTTCTGTTTAATTAATCTAGCTTTGGTCCCATTTTATCTCACTAAAACTTTCCTTTTTACCAATGCCCTGAACTTTGACTTTTTTTCCTTGCCTATTCTCCAATTGAACCCAATTATGCTGCAGATGCAATTTCCAAAAGATCTTTTTTAAGATTAGTTACTTAACATAGTCACTCGGGAGTTACTACTGTACATCGCAGCATTCACACAAACAACTGTGATTGAAGCTCAAATAATTTATAACTGCCATTTGAATGTAAGCATGAGATAATCACATAAAATCACCGGACTGGCTCCGGCCTTCTGCAGTCCCCCGGGCCCTCCGTTCCACCATTGGTGGCCGCGCTTTCAGCCACTACGCCCCGAAACTCTGGAACACTCTTCCTCAATCCCTCAACCTTTCCCCTTCCTTCCCCATCTTCAGGTCACACCTGAAGACCTTCCTATTCTCCTGTGCCTACAGTCACCTCCCCCTCCCCGAGACTCAGAGTCATGCTCTGCCACTGACAAGCACTCTGGGACGCTCCCGTTTGTGAGGGGCGCTATACAAGTATAAGTTGTGTTAAAAGCGCTCCAAGACACTAACCCGGATGAAGGGAACTATCTAAATAGATGCTGATGATGTTATTGTTGTAGAAGTTAGAACCTTGATTGTTTTCTTACGTTTATTAAAATACCTTGGGACATCCTCCCGATATGAAAGGTGCTAAAAAGCCACAATTTGTTATTGTTGATGGAATTATTTTATTTTCACTTATTGAAGGGTCAATAACAGGTGTTATGGTTAACACCAACACCGAGTACCTTTACTGGTCTGCAATACCATTTGCTTAAAATGATTGTGATGCAATCAAACAAGCTGATTGAATTGTAAACGCAAATTACTGGAAAATATATCCTTTTTAAATAACCTGTTCTTTTCCCAAATTATTAAACATTACTTATTACTAGCTACATTATTCTTTTCAAGAAACAAAAAGTTATCTCAGGATGCAATCTGAACACTTAATTAGTAATGATTGACACAACTTTTTTTTTTAAAAAACTTAAGTTTCTCGGTAATTTAAACAAATGAACTTGGACATGTGTACCAATTTATATTACGATGTCTGAAAATGCTTCACAGATAATTATTATCAATTACAAGTGTAGTGATTAATTTTGTGAGCAAAAGTGGCAGCCATTTGGATCATCAGCAAGGTACAAAACAGCCATGAGGTGAATGAATGGCTAAAGCATTTTTGCCCAGGGTAGTTCAAACAGCTGCTCTTTGGGTTCAGTAAGTAATGGAATGTGATAGTACATACATTTAATCTGTTCGTGTTCTTCTTGGGCTAATTATTCATAACATTTACCTGACATGATTATTGCAAATAGCAGAGATTGTAGCCAGCACAGCTCATTGAATTTAATACTCTAAACCCCCTTTAAGTACAGCATTTAAATACCTGTGGTAAAGGTCAATTAGTGTTACTGCATTTAGATTTTCTCAATAACATTTTAATAGTAGTGGCTGACAATATTTTATCTGAGGTTTTCAGATTTCCCCCACACACTGGTAGAGTTACTACAATTGGTATAATTGTGTTTTGCTCAGTTATAAGGTTAGCACATAGATTACAATTGTATTTTGCTCAGTTATAAGGTCACAACAGATCAACATAGATTGGCTTTGTCTTGCTTTACACACAATCACCCACAGTAATACAGCACAAGTAGTAAGTAAGGTTAGACATTGCTAATGCTGTAATCCAGTTTTCTCTGGGAGGTCTGATGCAGGTCAGTGCAGACACTGACATCACCCTTGTTAGTTTACCTTATTACCCCCCTCCCTCAAATAATGCACAAACAATTCACGTTGCTGTGGTGAAGATTCCCTCTTGCCATTGGATTATGGCGAGAGAATAAATGATAACGATTGCAGGTATCATACCAGACATCAGGAAAACAGCAGTTTTAAGCAGACATGGGAACTGGCAGCTACACGGTGCACTTTGGGAGCTGCAAAGGCAACACGTTTTGTGGTTGCACAGCATTTATTATTACACACACACAGACACACACACAGCACTGGGCTGATCGCTGGCTGTGCAGATTACCCTCTCTGTAGTCTCTCTCACTCTCTCTGTAAACATTTCCTCCCTCTCCCTGGTTTCTATTTCTCTCTCTGTAACCATTTCCTCTCTCCCTGTCTCTGGTATTTCTCTGTGTGTGTGTGTGTGTGTGTGATGTACACTCTATCTCTGTCTGTGTGATAATACTGTGTGTGTGTGTGTGTGTGATGTACTCTGTCTGTGTGTGTGATGTACTCTGTGTGTGTGTGTGTGTGTACTCTCTCTGGGTGTGTGTGTGTGTGTGTGCTATGTCTGTAAGTGTGTGTACTCTCTCTGGTTGTATGTGTGTACTCTGTGTGTGTGTGTGTACTCTCTCTGGGTGTGTGTACTCTCTGGGTGTGTGGGTGTGTGTATGATGTGACCCCCCCCCACACACACAGCTCGGCTCGGGGCAGTACCTTGTCACTCAGGTTGTCGGGCTCCTTCTCTGCTCTCCTCTGCCTCAGCTCACTCATCGCTGGGCTTGTTCCCTGTCCTGGGGCTGGTCAGGGCTTCACCTCTCTCTCTCTCTCCCCCTCTCCCTCCCTCTCTCTGTCTGTCTGTCTACACACTCCCTCCAGTTGGGGGCGGTCTCGGCGGGGATTGATGGCTGTAAACGCTCCCCTTTTCTCCTTCTCGTTTCCTTCGCAAGTGAAACCCACAGCGGCCCGACCCCCCCCCCCCTCCCCCACCAACCGCCACAGCCCCGCCCCCTCCCCCACCAACCGCCACAGCCCCGCCCCCTCCCCCTCCAACCGCCACAGCCCGCCCCTCCCCCACCACCAACCGCCACAGCCCCGCCCCCTCCCCCACCACCAACCGCCACAGCCCCGCCCCTCCCCCACCAACCGCCACAGCCCCGCCCCCTCCCCCACCAACCGCCACAGCCCCGCCCCCTCCCCCACCAACCGCCACAGCCCCGCCCCCTCCCCCGCACCAACCGCCACAGCCCCGCCCCCCCGCACCAACCGCCACAGCCCCGCCCCCTCCCCACCAACCGCCACAGCCCCGCCCCCTCCGCACCAACCCCCACAACCCCGCCCCTCCCCACCACCAACCGCCACAGCCCCGCCCCCCCCGCACCAACCCCACAGCCCCGCCCCTCCCCACCAACCGCCACAGCCCCGCCCCCTCCCCACCACCAACCGCCACAGCCCCGCCCCTCCGCACCAACCCCACAGCCCCGCCCCCTCCCCACCAACCGCCACAGCCCCGCCCCCTCCCCCACCACCAACCGCCACAGCCCCGCCCCCGCACCAACCGCCACAGCCCCGCCCCGCCCCTCCCCCACCACCAACCGCCACAGCCCCGCCCCCCGCACCAACCGCCACAGCCCGCCCCGCCCTCCCCCACCACCAACCGCCACAGCCCCGCCCCCCCGCAACAACCGCCACAGCCCCGCCCCCCCCGCACCAACCGCCACAGCCCCGCCCCCCCGCAACAACCACCACAGCCCCGCCCCCCCCGCAACACACAGCGACAGCCCGGATCAGGACAGCTCCACCTCCCAGCAATCACTGGCTGAGCAGATACACAACAACAACAATAAAATAATATTTATATGGCGCGGCTCACGGCGGGAGGACGTCCCAAGGCGCTGGACAACCAGTGCTTCGGACCCGAGCTGGGGGTCGGGAGCGGAGGAGGGTGGAAGGAGTGGGGGGGGGACGGGGGGACAGGAGGGAGAGCGAAGGCACTGTTGAAGAGGAGGGTCTTGAGACACGTCTTGAAGATGGCGCGGGAGCGAGTGAGGCGGAGGGACCGGGGGATGGAGTTGCAGAGGGTGGGGGCAGAGTGGCGGAAGGCCCACACACCGATAGTGGGGTGACCGAGGCGGGGGACGTGAAGCAAGGCCGGAGCCCGCTGAGCGGAGGGAGCGAGCAGGATGGTAGGGGGTTAGGAGGTCCGAGAGGTTGAGGGGAGCAAGGCCATGGAGGGGTTTGAAGGTGAGGACCGGGATCTTGAACTGTATCCTCTGTGTGATGGGAAGCCAGTGGAGTCGGGTGAGGATGGGGGTGATGGGGTCGCGGAGCTTAGTGTGGGAGAGGACACGGGCTGCAGAGTTCGGGGTGATCTGCAGCCTATGGAGAGAGGAGTCGGGGAGGCCGACAGGCAGTGAGTTTGCATAGTTGAGCCTCGATGTAACGAAAGCGTGTGTGAGGGTTTCGGCCGCCCGCGGTGTGAGACAGTGTCGGAGCCGGACAACGCTGCGGAGGTGGGGGAAGGCAGAGCGGGTCATGGCACAGGATGTGGGGTGGAAAGGATAGTTGTGGGTCAAACAATACGCTGTGGTTCCGGACCGGCTTAGTAAGGTGGAGTGTGCAACCAGGGATGGTGATGCTGTAGTATTCACTGCAGCCAATCAATGCACGGATTATTATTATTACAACCCACAGGCGTATTGCAGCAGAACGCCGGACATTAAAATGTCTCTGTCAATTGCAAATCAGCATCCACATTCTTTAAGGGTTACCAAGCAGCACGCAGTAGAGAGTCATTTTCACCAGGTTAAACTGCCTTGTTGAACACTTCATTGAGTCAGTAAACAGAGAAATGTACAATGAGATGACTGAATGATGCCAATCGTGTCCGCTTAAAAAAAAAGTTAAACAGAAAATGAACAACGACAAGATTACATCTGTATAGCGCCTTTTACGTCGAGAGGACATCCCAAGGCGCTGGATGTACAACATTTCAGACCCGAGCTGGGGTCAGGAGGGGGAGAAGGGAGGGGAGGGGAAGGGGGGTGGCCGATGGCATGGTCGAAGAGGAGGGTCTTGAGGCGGGACTTGAAGGAGGCTAAGGAGGGGGTGAGGCGGAATAACTGTGAGATGAAATTCCAGAGGTTGGGGGCAGAGTGGCTGAAGGCTCTCCCACCAATGGTGGGGCGGGTGCGTCGGGGGACGTGGAGCAGGCCAGAGCCGGCTGAGCGGAGGGAACAGGCGGGTTGGTAGGGGGTTAGGAGGTCGCAGAGGTAGGGTGGGGCGAGGATCTTGAACTGGATCCTCTGAAGGATAGGGAGCCAATGGAGTCGGGCGAGAATGGGGTCACGGAGTTTGGTGCGGGAGAGGACACGGGCTCCAGAGTTCTGGATTATCTGCAGCCTGTGGAGGGAGGAGTTGGGAAGGCCGACAAACCAGGGCGTTTGCATAGTCGAGCCTGGAGGTGATGAAGGCATGAACAAGAGTTTCAGTGGCCTGAGGGGTGAGGTAGTGGCGGAGTCGGGCGATGTTACGGAGGTGAGGGAAGCAGAGCGGGTCATGGCTTGAATGTGGGGAAGAAAAGACAGTTGAGGGTCGAACAAGACACCAGGTTCCTGACTGGCTGGTGAGTTGTAGTGTGCAACCATGGAGGTTGATGCTGCCAGAGCCTGAGGTGCTGAGGCGCTGGCGTGAGCCAATCAGGAGGGCCTCAGTCTTGTTCACATTCAACTGTAGGAAATTTGCCCTCATCCAGGACTTGATGTCCGACAGACAGTCTGTCAGGACAGCAGTGGTCCTGGAGTTGAGGGTGGAGGCAGAAAGATAGAGTTGGGTGTCATCCGCATATATATGGAAGTTGACCCCATGTCTGCGGATGATGTCACCAAGGGGGAGCATGTAGATATTAAAGAGAAGAGGGCCAAGGACAGAGCCCTGGGGGACGCCAGATGTGACAGTGTGGGGGCTGGAGGAGAACCTTAGAGACAACAAAGTGGAGACGGTGAGAGAGATAAGAATCAAACCAGGCAAGGGAGTCCTGTAGCTCAGTGGTTAGAGCACTCGCCTTGCAACCGAGACATGTGGGTTCAATTCCAGGCAGAGCGAAACCTTGGGCAAGTTTCCTTACGCCACACGCCTAATAATAATCCCTCCAAAACAATAACAAATTGGGTCATTTTCAATCCACGACTGTTTGTGGGACACTGCTGCGTGCAATTGGCTGCTGGGTTTCACCCACAAATATACGGTCAATTCATTTTACAGTCTATTCTGTGAAGCACTTTGAAATGTCGAGTAGACGTGAAAAGCGCGATATCAAATGCAAGGATTATTATATTATAAGAGCAGGTCCGTGAAGATTAAGTAAATGAAACCTGAAAGACAGATTTCAAAGACTTGTGCCACAGCAGAATGTGCTCCATCTAAAATGTACAATTCACTTAAGAACTCTGGGTTCATTAGAAATAAATCACAAAACAAATTTTGTTTAAAATCAAAATGACTTAATATCTATTGATATTTGTGAACAAAGTCGCTCGCAACATGTTGACATAAGGCTGACTGTGAGTCACTGCCTTGATACAATAGGCAAAGCAAGCCTTTTGCTATTGATAATAGCTAATATATTGTGGGAGCTCGGTTTAGCTCAGACTAATTGTATCAACATTAGCCACTTGTGTCTGTAATGAGATTTTTATAAGCATTCATTAAGCAGATATCACAAAGGTGCGTAATTTTACCGATGAGCAGACAATAACCTCCAGTGTTTTGTGGAGAATTTCAACAACCATGATATAAATTGGTCAACCTTTCCCACACCCATTTTATATTTATTGCCATATTATATGTGGTTTTAAAACAAGCAATTTCTTTCCAGCACAGACATGATTTGGCAGGATAGGAGTATACTTTCTGAGGTAGGTTTCTTCCCCCTCCCTGAAAATCAACCTTTGTTACCAGGTCATCAACCTTTGGTCCTTAAGAACAGTGCTTTTATCAATTGGAACTGTGACACCGGTTCATCAGCTTGATTGCACATTTAAATGATCTAATACACATTTTACATAAGGGTTAACAGAACCACTCATCTGTAAGCAAGGTGACTGTCACTTAATTTTCACGAAACTGTCTTCTCACGTAAATAGACAAAACCAGTCTGGCAATGAAATTTTTTGCAGCCGAAAAAAGGTTTGCTTTCTTTTGGGGGGACGTATTTCACTGTCTGTCAGCCACAGTAAACGCTGTAGACATTAAATGCTTGCACAAAAAAGGAAACTTGCTGAATTGGAAAAACAGCAATGGTCCTAAAGGAACAATATTGCATGTCAGCAATTCCCGACAAAGCAGTACACAGAAATGCAAACATTTTGTGGTTTTTCAGGGGTTAGTTATGCAAGGTCAATATGGGATTAAAGAATGTCAAGAGCTTAACTCTTAACACTGACCTCTTGAGCTCAGCTCCCAGTCAGCTCTTTGACGTGTTTTGAGAGGTCCTCTTGATATGAAAGGCGCTATATACACTACTGTAAATGTAAATTACATTTGACAGACTGTCTGTCAGACATCAAGTCCTGAATACGAGCCAACTTTCTATAGTTCAACGTCAGCAAGACCGAGGCCCTCCTGATTGGCTCGCGCTAGGGCCTCCGCACCTAGGCACTGGCAGCATCAGCATCCACAGATGCACAATCCACCTCACCAAGCCAGTCAAGAACCTAGGCATCTTATTCGACCTCATTTGTCCTTTCTTCCCCAAATACGTGCCTTGACCCAGACTACCTTCCCCCACCTCCACAACATTGCCCGACTCCACCACTGCCTCACCCCTCAGCATGCCTTCATTACAATCAGGCTCAACT